ACCTTCGATAAAACCCAACCGAAATATTTTTTTTTTTTCAGTGGGGTCAGCAGTTTGATATTTATTCAGGCAAAATTATTCTTGGAAATATATTTGCATACATTTTATTGTCATTAGACACACTGTTTGTCATACATATAAATATTAAGATAAGATAATGCAAATTTTATTTATCAAGCCTTCTGGCTTATGTCCACCGTGGTCCCATTAATACTGAGATAAAATTTGTCATTTCAGGCATTTTGATTAATCATGAATACTGATATAACAAAAATCATAAATGCTTGTTCATGCTATGCACAAAAATCACAAAACTGTCGAAAACCTGCCAGTTTGACTATGTCTTCCCGACCCACCCACACAATGGTCACGGTAAACGAGTTTACAATAAAACTTCGAGAGCCAGAGCTTCTCGCTTTTATAACGTTCACTGCCTAAGTCTGCCCCCTGGCACTCAGTTCAGGGTGCCAGCCCTCAGGTGGCTGCATGGCACGATGTTCACCATTAATATCCTGGTGGTTGTAGCAAAGGCGTCGTCCATTAAGCCCACTGTCACAGACATCGATATTTGGTCGCTTATACTCCGAGACTTCCACCACTCTTCTTTAAATCAGTTACTCCCTATAATAATTGTTTACTTCCCAGGTAGATGCATTAGTTACAAAAACTGGTTTACAGTTTATTTCTCATGTGGAAAACCGTATTTATGCAAAACATTTTGGGCAGTGGCAGTTAATTAACAAAATTTTTACAGTGGTCTTGATTGTACAATTGTTTTGGATTTATTACTACAATCAAAACTAAGCGCTAAAACCACAAGGATCATACAATATTGGTTTATAAAACAGTATATTATGTATAATGAGTTTAGGAAAACCCACTCAAATAAAAAAATACGATTTATTTCCCTTAGTGTTAGTTTTTCTAGGTATTTCATACATATGCAAACCTATTTTTTATTTACAATTATTTTAAGGGCACAGGTGTAATAGACACATATATAATACATTATATGGATTTATATAGCATAACCTAATACAGTCAGTATAGCATATTTCATTACAATTTACTGTCTGCCATTGTGATTGTCATTGCTATATTCATGGATAAGCTCTACACCTATAAGGGTCACACAGCGCCTGAAGATGAAGAAACATACCACCTGGCATGATCATCGTACCTCCATGGATGAGCTGCCTTTGTTACGTCATCCTATGTTATACCTTCATTATTTACCACCAATGTATATCAATAACAGTGTTCTAATATGCTATTATAGAACTATTCAGTCTATAAACTTTTATCGTATCTTATACTGAAGAACCTACAAGTGGATTATTATAAACAAAACCAAGTGCTAAACCCACTAGGGTTGGGTTATCCTAGGTAATCTGCATATATGCTGCTATGTATAAAAATTTATGTAGCTTTTTATATGTACCTGTACCTGAATAAACTTACTAGGGTCACACAGCGCTGTGCAAGTAAAGGAATAATGGTGAAGCAACGCGCGCGCGCACAGTCCGCAACACCAACGTGAAACCTACACTTTGTCAAACATCAAGAAATTGGAGAAAGTGCAGAGATTTACAACAAGACTAGTTCCTTTGATCAAGAGGCCTTAATCAGAATCAAGGCGTCCCTTCCATTTTTGCTTTAAAAAATGCTGAATTCTTCTGGATCAGTAGAGCAGCGTCCCCTCCCTTTAAAGGGATATATTTATTTTGGGAGTACTAAACTCTCTGCTAGAGTTATGAGATTATATATTATAATTATGGGGGAGCGCTAAACCTGTAGGATTATACAGATCAAGAGCCCCTCACCAGCATGAAGGAATCTCCCTTGAGGGATAGGGTTATGAGAAATAATCATTATTGATCAAAGGAAACAGAGGGCAGCTCCGATTCTTTGGATCAAGAGCCCTTACAAGGACCCCAGCAATAAAATCCTAAAAATATGGTTCCAACAGTTTGTTCGATTTGCAGTCAGAGAAAAAGTAACCTTCCTAAATGTTTTGCATTTAGATCTCAGACACAGTATACAGTATCTCAAACCAAATCCATACGGGTCATACATCTCCCAAAAGATACGCTGAGTGATGTGTTCTTATTTAGTTCAAGTCAGGCGTTGAAGAATTGAGACACGTATGCAACTTATGGGAATCTTTATTGAAGAAAAGTTTCGCCACACAGTGGCTTCATCAGTCCAATACAAAGTAGAAATGCGTAAGGAGAGGAGGAGATTGAGGTAATCAGTCCCTCAGCCTGGAATCGATGTTTTCAGTCCATCACTCTTGTAGGAAGTACAGCATAGGGCCAGAGAGGTGGCTTATATACTGCAGTCAGGTGAGCGAAGCAGGAAGAGGAAGAGGAGGTGGGATCACAGTGTGACCTTCCACTAGTGAAAGTAGGTCGTCGTCCAAAGGTTGGACAGGTGTTGAAGAAATCTTTGTACAAAGATCCCATGATATTGCAGTGTCTGACATGTGATGAATGGTTTTGAAAACCAACAAGTTGAAGAATTATGCAACATATGGGAATCTTTATTGAAGAAACATTTTGCCACACAGTGGCTTCGTCACATCTGTCAGACACTGCAACATCATGGGATCCTGGTACAAAGACCTCTTCAACGCTTGTCCAACCTTTGGACGACGACCTACTTGCACTAGTGGAAGGTCCCACTATGATCCCACCTCCTGCTTCACTCACCTGACTGCAGTATATAAGCCACCTCTCTGGCCCAAGGCTTAGCTGTTGGGTCTAGTCCTGGCTCTTTATCTTCAACTCAAGACATTCCTCTCACCGACTATTCTTCGCCCTGTCCCCACTTGCCCCTCGCCCCTAGTGGGTCCTTACCTGTGAGTCCTCATTCATTCATTCATATGCTGTACTTCCTACAGAGTGATGGACTGAAAACATCGATTCCAGGCTGAGGGACTGATTACCTCCTCTCCTTACCCATTTCTACTTGGTATTGGACTGATGAAGCCACTGTGTGGCGAAACGTTTCTTCAGTAAAGATTCCCACATGTTGCATAAGTGTCTCAATTCTGTTCAACTTGTCGGTTTTCAAAACCATTCATCACAAGTCAGGCGTTCGTTTTATAATCATTATTATTTACTAGTATTGCTGTAGTATTATATTTATGGGAAGCGCTAAATGCATAAGGGTCATACATCGCCAGGTAGAGCATTGGTAGGAATTACCTTTATAGGTTAATTGTTGGCAACCATGATGCAGTCTCCTCTAGTCAGTACTCCAACTCAAAATATTGTCTTCAGAGTAATTCAGTATTGTGCTTCATATATCCCTTTATAGTAACAGTTTCATCATCGTCTTGGTTTACTTGGTATAGTTAAAGTAGAAAGTTTAATTTGACTGATAGAACTGCAGTACTAAGTATGCTGAGCCTCAGGCATGTACAGTAAATATTGGGTATTATTACAATAACTGGGAAGCTATACCTTTTGGGGTCATACAGTGCCTGGGAAAGGCGAGTTTTGATTTGAAAAAGGGAAACATTGCTCAAAATCCTTGGATCAAGAGCTCTACCAGTCCCCAGTCATCCTCACCCCTACCCCTGTAAGGCATACATTTTTATGATTCATTAAAAAGCCTTGATTAAATTTTATATGTGTAAATCGGGGCTATAAGCCTATCAATTCAGTAAGCTTCAGCCTGATGTCCTCTTTAAGACTGATGCAGACAGTAATAACTCCACTGATTCACAAGTTTCCAAACAAGACTTGTCTTCATCACAATCCTGCGAGTTCCTGCTTTCTTAAGCCAGCCCAGTTAAGTAAGGCAAAAGTGCTAAGCTTCTAGGGGTTATATTGTATGGTATTTTAATCATGAGGGAGGGATAGGTTCAGTTCCTTGGATCAACAGCCCCTCATTAGCATCAATTCACTTTCCTTAAGGGGATATCTGCTAACAGATCCTGGTTCTGTGGCAAAATTACAGATACATATCCTTGTTTTGCCTATTATAATTTACTCGCATTACTATAATCATATGGAAGAGCTAAACTCATACAGATTATACAGCACTAAATACTGTAATCTGCATTATTATTAACACACTGACCATCTCCCACTGAGATTGGGTGATCTGAGAAAGAAATAACACTCACCATCATTCATTCAGTCACTGTCTTGCCAGAAGCAGACTGGCATCACAGTTCAGCTGGCCCTCCAAACAGTAACATCCTCGTCCCTCCTTCACAGTTCTGGCACTGTACTTCCAACTTCCAGGACTCAAATCTGGCTGACTGTTTCTCTGAATCCCTTCATAAATCTTACCTTGCTCACACTCCAAAAGCATGCCTACCTTGCTCACACTCCAAAAGCATGCTTACCTTGCTCACACTCCAAAAGCATGCCTACCATACTCACACTCCAAAAGCATGTCTACCTTGCTCACACTCCAAAAGCATGCCTACCTTGCTCACACTCCAAAAGCATGCCTACCTTGCTTACACTCCAAAAGCATGTCTACCTTGCTCACACTCCAAAAGCATGCCTACCTTGCTCACACTCCAAAAGCATGCCTACCTTGCTCACACTCCAAAAGCATGCCTACCTTGCTCACACTCCAAAAGCATGCCTACCTTGCTCACACTCCAAAAGCATGCCTACCTTGCTCACACTCCAACAGCAATTCATAAAAATCACTTTTCTCCACTCCTGTATAATGCAGTCACAAACTTGTTGAATGTCCAAGGTCCTAGAACTCAAAACATCTTTTACCCCCTGCCTTTCCTGGGATGACGACTGCCCATCCTTTCTTCTACCCCAGATTTATACACCTCCTAATCATTCTTTGTTTTTATCCATCCTCTCTACATATTCAGACCATATCAACAGCCCCTCCTCAGCCCTCTGAATAATACTTTTGGTATGGTTTTTACCAATATATTTAAATGCCATAAGGTGGCTTTTATCCTAAAATTTACTTAGAAAATTTTAATACAGTGTGATGAGTGCAAATAAAAGATATTAACAGAGGAATATTATATATTATTTTTTATTGTTTTTTAAGTCACAAATCTATTTTTAAAAAAATTCTTGGTAGAGCACTGTGCAGTCATACAAAAATGACATTATAGTAACATCTGCATAGCTTCAAACACTAAAATGTATGAAAGCAAAACTACTACCAACAGATTTAGACAAAGATAATGATAGCTTTACTGTCATAATAAAAGTTAAATTACTCCATGATGATTACATGGTCTCTTAATGTTTCTTTTTTATCTTAACTTTTCCCTTCCTATCAGCAATTCTTCGCTTTTTAGATTCTTTCAATGATTCCTGCTTCTTTCTCTTCTTTTTCACTGCAAGATGAGGATTAATGGCCCGCTGTTGGTGGTCATGTGCACGTCTCTCCCATCGTTTCTTGGAAAGTACAACCTGTGCTGAAGTAAGGTGGCGAGTGTAAGTTTCCAGACCAACACATTCCTTCACAAGCGCTGCTACCTCATGGGTTTGTTTAACAAGGGATGTAGGAATATGTTCATCAGACAATTCACGAGCAAGATGCTTCACCATGTAAGTGAGAAGAGTCGTTGATTTTACTTGGTCTCCAATTGCAACAACCAGACCAGCCATGAGGTTTAATAATGCTTCTCGCACTACAGTATAATCCTTCCCACTTTTCTGGAGTTCTTCATAAGCCATATCGCCTACACGGCGAATGACCCACACTGCACTAGGTACAATGGCTTCTTCTCCAGAAGAGTTTCCAGTTTTGATATTTTGACTCTCAGCATCGCTGTTATCATCTATTTTAGGTAGTTTGTGGATTAGTGACACTTTGCAAGAATGACGAATTATATATATGAGGTTCCTCACAACTGTAAGTGATAGTTGAGTCACAACAGGAATGCCAGTTGAAGTTTGTGTTTGCAAAAGCCCACAAAGGTCTAATACAAGGGAACGTGCTTGGTCAGTTGAAGAAACAAGTGAGGGTGATGTCTTATCCTCTATAGGATGTGCAGCTAACACATGACCTACCAAGCCAGCAGCACTTAACCTCACCTGTATATGAGGGTAGCGCAAATGAGCTTGTACAAAATCCCACATACTTTCTTTAACATATGTATTCCATTCTGGATGACTTTGGAAGGCATTCACCAGTTTGGTCAGCACTTCAAGAAGTGCACAAAGAGTAGTATCAATTTGTCGAAGATGAGCATCCATGTCTGTCCCATCACATTCATCCTGTTGGTTATTCGTATTAAGCTGAGCACTGTACCTTGATGGATTAATAAGTGTGATTATTTGAGAAGTGACACTTGACAAAAGACTATTTGGAAGAAGTTTAAAAGGCACATCAAGAAAGGCATTCAAGGCTTTACAAGCCAGCTGTATACCTACTAAATCTGAAGTAACATTTTCATCATCCACCTGCAAAAGCTTCATACACAATTCTATCAATAATTCTTTTCTACTGGATCTCTGAAAAAGTGTCTTCAGTGCTTTATGCAAGAGTAAGAGATTTTCTTTTGACTCATCTTTCAATATTTGTTCAGACAATTTGAACCACAGGTTTGTTTCCAGTGCTTTGTTAAATAGCTTAATAGGGAAATTGGCTATAATAGCATTAATCATAGTTGTGGCAGATAACCGTCCCTCCTCATGTGTATATGATACATTTCCAAGGAAATATAGTATGTTGGCTTCAACACGTTTGGGCTTCATGGGATATGTGAGAAGGTATGCATAGTAAGTGACACGTGCTTGATTGAGTGCGTATCGCCGATTGCATGTAATGCTCATTTCTTGAACACGCCTCATCAATGTATGCAATTCAGGAGCATCTATCTTTCTTGAAACGATTGCTTGAAGAACAACAAAAGCTGTCTGTTGTTGATTACGGTCCTCAAGATTTCCTTCAACATAGTGTAACAACACACGAACCTCCTCTTCACTCATCATGTAAAATTCCACTTTTTTAAGAATTAAGGCTAATGTCTTAAAAGAAAACTGAACAAGATCATATATTTTTCCCCTGGCAAGCTCTGGGGAGGAAAATTTGTTTAATATTATAAACATCTGACCACATATGTTTTTCAACTGATTCTGAAGGGATGGGAGAGGAAATTTAATTAACCAGGTAACACATTTCAGAGCTTGTAAGCTTACCTCAGGATATTCAGAATTTATGCAGCGGGCCAGCACTGAAATATATGGATCTAGCAATTTCTGATGCTCTGACTCTTTTGGCAACAATTTTTCTTTTTTCATTAAATTACCTAGAAGATGCAATGCAAATTCAATTAGTACATGAGCAGTTGCCCTCAGTGAAGTTTTGGGGTTCAGCCTTGCTCTCTTTGGCTCTGGTTGAATTAATAATGAATCTGGTCTTTGAATATCTTTTTTTTTAGTTAATTTCTCTGTACTCTTGTCAGATGTTATTTCAGTTAATTTTTCATTTAAAATTCCATAAATGAATAGAGATTTATGAGTTACAGATATACCCTGATTCTTCTCCAGTCCATTGGCAATCTCAACTAAACATCTAGCCATTTTATTTACTACTTTCTTATCTTGTGTATCGGCTAGCACATCCTTTAATGGCAAAATAATATCTTTAAGACTCTCTGCTGATATGAATTCAGCAGTAAAGCACAGTATATTATAGCCTTTATCATGTCGGGCTTCCTTTACCTTACTAGTTATCTGAGCCACATGTTTCTCCTCAGCTTGAAAACCAAGAATATCTTTTTTACAAATGTTGACCATTTGTGACATGCATGCATCAACATCATTTGCAGTCAAAACAGGGCGTAACTGAGTTAAAACAGAATGCAAAGTGTAAACTAACACATGTGCTTGATAACCACTGGTTAGGATACTTTGTAAATCATTCACTAACCAAGGCAAATATTTCCCTCCTAGTTCAAGCATAATTTTTACAAGCATACTGCGAGATTCTTCACGAATACTTTCTGCTCTGGATTTTAAAAAGGTAATCATTTTCATAAGCACATTATTAACATTAGCATTAAGTACATTTCTGGGGAGTTTTTTCAGAAGCTTAATTAGTGCAAATGCAAGAGGAATGCGTTTGACATCTTCATCCTCAGGATACTTACTTCTGTTAAGTTTGTGTTCTGTTTCAGCTCTGGTTCTGGCAGCTAAAGTCTTCTGTATTTGTGGAATGAGGTTATTGACCAATGTGCGATATACTTTCTGTGGTTTACTTAAAGATTTCTCATAGCTTGCTACTGAGTGATCATAATTCTCTTCATCATTTTCAATACGTTCTCCTGCTTTAGAAGTAAGTTGTTCATTTTTCTGCACATTTTGAAGTTCGGAATCTTCTGCAAGTGGTTTTACTGTTGTCGGAATAGCAAATTCTTCGACATCCTCATGAAAGCCATCAATTACAGCATCTAAAACTCTCACCCCAAGTTTGAGATGCTTTATGTCTTCTTTAAGCAACATGTTCAGGTAGCTTTGTAACATTTTCAAGTAAGAATGCCAAGGTAGGAATTTAGCAAATGCCCCAATACACTTTACTGAACTGTACATCAAATAATCCTCTTTAACATACATATCCTTGAAAAGATACACTGTTACCATTGGCATCAGATAATCTATGATGGTTTCACTTGCCAAAGATAAGTCACCACTCTTCAACTTATCAGCTAGCTTTCCCAGAGCTCTAGCTCGTCTATGTCTTTGAATATGTCCCATATTACTAAAGAAATCTGACTCTTCATCTGTCTCATCTGCTAATTTATAAAGATCTTTTAATCTGTCTACATATGTATGGCATTTGTGAACTACTTTGCGAAGAACAAGTATAATTTCAGTCCTCACAACTTCCTTTTCACTTTGAAGACCACGTTTAATCAGTGGAAGGAATTTATCAACCACAAGCTGTTTGAACTCAGAAGGGTAATTTGACTGCAGCCGAGTGAGCATGTCGATCATCTGAGTTAGGCACAAACTTGACAAATCTCTTAAGGATGAATCCTCAACATGACATATTACAAACATATTGTTGTATAAAAGAAGTTGACAAAAGTCTACATCAATTTTATCAAGACACTGCTGAGTTTTACAATATTCAGTCAACTGCTGGTATCTACTTAGCCGTCGTTCAAAATCAATTTCTTCAACCATCCTTGGGTTCCACGAGTTCAAACTTGCTGCTGTATCTGCAAGAACTTTATAATGTGGATTAACTACGGCTATTGCTGTAACAGCTTGACAGAGTGCATTTCGTGCATCACGGCTCTCCAGGCAACCAAACTGAGTAATGAATGGCCGTAAATATTGAACTGAATTGTCTATAACAGGCAAAAGATAAGAGCAGGTTGCAAGTAACTGAGATATCTTTTCTTCCTTTTTGATGTGTTTCTTGACAATAAGTGGAATAATAAGGCTTAACAGGTCATCACTAATATCCTTATTTGTGACCCATTCTGTCAATTTAGTAAGAATAGTAAGGTCACGATGGGTTACACTCTGACCTTTACCCAACTTTGATATCATGACCTTCATGTTTTGCAAAAGACCATCTAAGTGAGGTACAAGCAGTGCTGAGCCATAATTTTTTTTACATTCCCCATCACGAGAATCTAGTTTCCCAATGCTTACAATGTGAGAACTTAAGTTCAGTGGCTCTGCAGTCTTCTCCCCTTCTCTATCCACAGCACTGTAATCTTCCAGTGTAAGTAATTTTTCCACAATATTTAAAATAATTGCAGTTACAGAGTTACTACATTTTTCATGGTTTAGCAACTTCACAATACTTGTCAGTGGAGTTAGTGAAGAGTCCTTCTCATGACATTTACCAAGTAAAGGAAAAAATCTTGGATTTTCAGCCCAGCACTGAAAGAGACATAATAAAGGTGTTGGGGTGGCGATTCCTTCATCTGGAAGACGTTTTAAGTTTGGCCAAACAACTGCCTGGAAGACTGCTTCAATTTCTTCTGATGACCAGCAGTACTCTTCAAACTGTTGGAAAAATGCCAAGAGTCTCTTTTGTGCCTGTTGTCGTAGGTATTTCAGAAAAGAAATATTTCGTTCATTAATTTCTGTACGTTGTTCCAACAGTAATGACACCAGGTTTACTATATAAAGTATTATCTTAAGTAAGAAGGGAATCTTGTCTCTTAATAAGTTTCCAATCTTTTCTATTATATTTTCAAGTGTGGTGAGTGCCCCTTGTAGTCTGTTGAGAGGTACAACTTTTTTTATGTCAAGATTTTGAGAGCTTTGATTCACTACATCCAAAGCAGTGCCATTCAGGTGACTCATTAGAACATCAAAAGACAGTTCAAGGAAGGAATTTATTTCAGATTCTCTGGCACCTGCTAAAAATCTAAGTACAACAGACTTTCGCACTGAAATTTTAGCCTTACCAGAAGTATTGGAGCCTGTTTTGAAATGCATTTTACCATAGAGAATTCTCATAAGGAATGGCATAAAGTCACTGCGGTGGGTGTCCTGCACACACTGCTCTGATCCATCAATGCTGAAGAGGGTTAGTGCATTTTTGAATGATTTATCATCTAAAATCTTGTATAAGCTTTCTTTATAAGGTATGAGATAAGGGTAATTATATGTCATTATACAATCAAGGGCTAATTTCTGAAGAGTAGGAGATGAATGGCTTAAAAATTCTTTGTAGATTTGTTCCAACTTATTTGTCTGAAACAGCATTCGTGGGTTATGAAACTGTGAAAAAACAGTTAGCTGTTCACACAACGACTTAATAGGTGCCCTTTTAGGAAGTGAATGATTGATTTTATCTCCTTTGTACTCATTTTCTAAAGTCAAGTGAAAGCTTTCATCTTTTAATATTGAATCACTGAGGTCTTCAGTGGAAACTGCATTATTGGAAATCCCTCTGACAGTGAGATCTTGAGTTGGAGCTATAGTAAAGTCAGCAGGGAAAATCTCATTTTCAAGAAAATTCAGAAACAATGGTACCAGATCTCTACTTTTAGCTTCACAGATATCAGGGAATTTCCTCATTGCTCTCCAGAGTAAGTCTCTGAAATTAAGATGATCTGGTTTCAGTGGTACACTTTTGAAGCCACTGTGATTTGCTATGTGACTGACAACATCAAGAAGAACTTCATTTTCAAAGAAGAGAGCTTCCTTAGGGTCTACTGAATACCCTTGTAATACCTGGCTGGTAATGTGAGAGGCTATCTTTAGCCTAGCAAACCAGAGAGGCCAAAAGATTTCCATTCTTAATGAGTGGGCATAACTAGATATTCCTTGTAAAACTGAGGGCCAAACATCTTTATAATTTACATACAACTGTCCAAGAAATAGCAAAAGTGGAGCCAGATCATACGTTCCACACACTGGACGATGATACAGCACATGTTCTGCATCCAACATAGATAAATATCGTAAGCGATCCTTATATTCCCAAGGTGTTACTGCCACACATTCTGCCTTCAACATAATCTGAAACATATTTTCAACATTACCCATATTTTCTGGTGGTGGCAGTAAGGTTACTGGGAACAGAGAGAATATATGAATCACCAACAAACGAGCTTGAGGGTTTGAAGAGGTCAAAGATGGTGCAAGTATACAATAAATATCTTTCAAAAAAATTTCATTTATTATGTCAGAATTTTCCTCTGTGAATGCAATAGTTAAATGCAAATCCATTGCCTTCAGGATATGAACATTTTCTCTATAATGCTTTTTCTGCTTTAAAACTTCTAATATTTGTTGGTGGCTTAGGCTGGCAAGAAAATCATCAGCAGTTAATGTATGTGCCATAACCTCAATCAAAACTCCCAATAAAAACAAAATTTTTCTTCCATTCAAAGAAATATTATGCTTAACATTTAAGTCAATAATGAGATCTGGGACCTCAATTCTTGATTTTCCTTTCTTTTTTGTGGCTGCAGTTTTATCATCATCAATAACTTTCTCTGTCTTGTCACTTAATATTTCAATTGCATCACTGAGAATCCAGGTAAGGTATGGAGTCAAATCTTGATAATCCAGGGGTATCACATGAGGTAAACACAACAAGCACAGGAGCAATTCCTCTAAATTAGATAGATCTTCTTTCAGTCCTCCACTTAATTTGGTTTCAATTAATGATGGAACACTCTTTTCACAAACACTTCCAATGGCCAAAATTGTGCGTGTGAAATCCAGTGGGTATTTTCTCCATGAGCTTAGGTCCATTCCAGTGCTACATGGTGGTTGTTTACACTGAACAAGGAAGGCAATCATGGATAGCACTTCTCTATCAACATCTTCCCCTTGACTAGTCCTTACTAAACTGTTCATGTAATGTAATATTAGTGGTAAGATCTCTGTGTCAAATCTTTTATGATCAACAAACTGCTTTATAACACTGAATTTAATTATGTAAGAGTAATGAGAATCAAGGAGCTCTAATACAGTTTCATTAAGAGTCACACCAAGAACTTGATGATGAGGCGAGGTCAGAAGGATGCTAACAATATTGAAGACAGTATTACCAATACTGTCTGGTAGAGGAGCCTTAATTACAGCTTTACACTGATGTAAAGCATCAGATAAATCTATGAGAAGTGCACATTGTTTATAACTCACTAAAACCTGTGTCACTTGTAAAACAGCATGAAGATGATGACAGGAGGCACCAGGCATGCAAGCACTGGGAAGCAATGATTTAATGCTACTCCATAAAGTAGGCCATACCAGGGTAGAATCTTCCTCCCATAATGTCTGCCACTTGGTATTCTTGTTTGGGTGCTGGGCTGTGATGTAACTAGCAACATTTTTAAGGCCATAAGAGACAGCTTCCAAGGCTTGACTAGATGGTATATCTTCCTCTCCCAAGAGATCCAATAACGAAGATAATATCTGAGAAGTTATACTCTGTAAACGCTGAGCTACATCCGACTTCATTAATGCTGCAATGAGTCTTCCCAGACCTTGCACCTGACTCTCATCTTTTTTTAATTTTCTAAAAGCTATACCCAAAAACGTGTTCCGATTAGGAAGCTTCCGTATCAGAAAAGCAAGACTTTGGGCAGCGAGTTCATTAATGTACCATGGGTATGCCTCTGAAAATAAAGCTGCATACTGATGAACATGATACAGTTCATACAGGTCATCGCAGACATATTTCTGTAAGACTACAAATAATGATACAATACAAAGAAACACAGACTCTATCTGATCAGGATCTTTAGTTGAAAGTTGTGAAACCAATAGTGGCAAAAATTGGTAAAAATGTTGTTGGTAGAACTCCTGAGGGATGTCATTTGCAAAGGCTACCAAGAGGTCTAGAAGTGGATGCAATGCCAGAGAGTTTGGTATTGCCAAGTGATCAGCCAGACACTTAGCTATATGCTTTTCTTGATGAACCAGTTGAACCGTTGTCTGGACGTCACCACCCAGGTCAGTCTGAAAAGCCTGTACAAATGGAATACTATTAGCCCAAGTTATAACAAATATCTTTTACTTAAATACAGCCTCTCCTCATTTAATGATGGAGTTCCGTTCCTAAGACCAGCTCGGTAAACGAATTTGTCACTAAGCAAGGAGCATGCTATAATGGTAGTGGGTTTATCTCAACCATCTTTGAATTTGTTTTAATGTAACCTTTGCACCATTTATAACATTTTTAGTATATTTTTAAATGTTTATACAGTAGTACGCTGTACATTATAATAAACAGAATAGAGGAAATCGGCTCTAATATTCATTATTTAGGCATGCATACTGGTCAGAGAGCCCGTTGTAAGTCCAAGTTGTTGGTAAACGAGCATGTCACTAAGTGAGGAGAGGCTGTAATATAAATTTATTATGGAATTAAATTATTTTCTGAACTAGATGAGCAAGTGGACAGCCACAATATTGATGAATGTGTCAAAATATTTCTACACAAAACCCACATACATAAAAAAAAACACGAATAAAAAATAGCAGCTCATGTGCTTTCCCCCATTACTGCAACACTGTTTAACAAATCTGTTGAACCCTCAACATTCCCATCTATACTTAAGACAGCAAGGGTCACCCCAATCCTCAAAGGAGGCGAACCTACAGAACTAAATAACTACAGACCAATATCTAACTTGCCTTTACTCTCAAAAATCTTTGAAAAAATAATACATAAACAAATCTACTCCTACCTCCTATCCCATAACATACTGAATCCCTGCCAGTTTGGGTTTAGGCCAAAAAAAAGCACAAATGATGTAATTATTCAGATGCTCGAATTACTATATACAGCACTTGAAAAAATGAATATCCTCTGGGGATCTTCATAGACCTATGGAAAGCATTTGATATAGTAAACCACAATATCTTGTGCCTAAAACTAGAGCATTATGGGGTCAGAGGACACTCTCTCAATTACCTAAAATCTTATCATAGTGATAGACACCAGTATGTACAGGTACCATCTGACTTACGACCAAGCTTGGTTCCAATCAACTGGTTGTAAGTCAAAATGGATGTAAGTCAAATCTTACTACTGAATATCAATATCACACTACTGTAATGATTTTATTTTATTGTTTTATTTTGGTATTTCATTTTTTACTTTACTTTTTATGCTGTTAGTACTGTATTTTATACTGTAAGGTTTAGGATAAGCACTGTGCACAACACAAACAGTTGTTTATTTCCCAGAAATCTGGCATAAAAAACATGGTCGTAAGTTGAGTGGTCGTATGTCGAGCAGGTCGTAAGTTGGATGGTAGGTACATACATAAGTGGCGTGACCTCCAATATTCAGCCTGTAGTTGTTGGAGTGCCACAGGGAAGTGTCGGAGGTCCTCTACTCTTTCTTATTTACATCAATGACCTCGAAAATGCATTGCAACTCCTTAACCCTTTCAGGGTCTGTCCCGTAGATCTACGGCTTTACGTTCAGGGTCCAAACCACAGATCTACGTCATGAGCTCAGCTCACTCTGATAAACTGTGAGTGGTACATTTGGGCCTAGATATGAGAGAATACATCTGTGTGGTATGTGTGTGCACCACATAAAACAAATCCTGCAGCACACTGTGTATAATGAGAGAAAAAAACTGAAATCATGATTTTTCGATTAAAACAGCGACTTTGCAGTGTTTTTTGTATGTTTTTTATAGTTGTATTTGCAATTTCTTGGTCTCATTTGATAGAATGGAAGACATATTACAGAAATAGAGATGATTTTGATTGGTTTTAGCACTGGAAATGGCTTGAAACTGAGCTCAGAGTAGCAGAAATGTTAAATTTTTGCCGATATTCAAGAGTAAACAAACGGCCTCACACATCTAATACACGCCAGCTGGTGGGTCTAATATACATTCACAAATATGGTGATGATATTTATACAATTATTACAGTATTGCATAACAGTAAATCTTCTATTTTTTGGTGTGAATAAAAATTCATTATGTGAATAAAAAATCAAAATGGAATTTATTTGTAAAGCCTCAAAACATAACTAACGAACAGAAAAAATGTTAGTTTAGTTCCAGGAATACCTACATTGTTTATTCTGGACCCTATTTTGAAATTGGAATATTTTGAACTTTGTGTTAAATTGGCCAAATTAACAATTTCTGATCACTTTATTTTGTAGTTGAAACAGTTAACGTGGCAATTTCTTGTGCTCAATCGATAGAATAGAAGTAATACTAGTGAAATAGCTAAGAATTTGATTGACTGGAATAAAGTAATTGGCCTAAAAATAAGGAATATCCACTAGGAATTTTTATTGACCTAAGAAAAGCTTTTGACACAGTAAACCACGAAATCCTACTCCACAAACTTGACCACTACGGTATAAGAGGCCATGCGCTTGCTTATTTCAAATCTTACATTACTAATAGGTATCAGTACGTCACCATTAAAGACACAGCATCAACAACACGGCCACTTGATACTGGAGTTCCGCAGGGAAGTGTCCTTGGTCCCCTGCTCTTCCTCATATACATCAATGACCTTCCAAACGTATCCCAACACCTGAAAACCCATTCTCTTTGCTGATGACACGACTTATGTCATCTCTCACCCTAATCTTGCCACCCTTAACACCATTGTGAATGAGGAGCTGATTAAAATATCGACTTGGATGACAGCCAATAAACTTACGCTTAACACTGACAAAACTTACTATATCATGTTTGGTAGCAGAGCAGGAGATGCACAAATTAACATTAAGATTGACAACACTCTAATTACCAGAAATAATGGGGGAAAATTCTTAGGCTTATACCTTGACAATAACCTGAATTTCAGCACCCATATCCAGCATATAGCCAAAAAAGTATCCAAAACGGTTGGGATCCTCTCCAAGATACGATACTACGTGCCGCAAAATGCCCTTCTCACACTATACCACTCACTTATTTATCCATACCTCACCTATGCTATTTGTGCTTGGGGATCAACTGCAGCAACACACCTAAAGCCAATAATAACCCAACAAAAAGCTGCAGTAAGAATAATCACTAAATCCCATCCCTGGCAGCACACCCCCCCACTCTTCAAAGATCTAAACTTACTCCCAGTTCAGTACATCCACACTTACTACTGTGCAATCTATATCTACAGGGCCTTAAACTCTAATAACAACCTTGACCTAAAACGCTTTCTTGATAGTTGTGACAGAACCCACAGGCATAACACCAGAAACAAACATCTCTACGACATTCCCCGTGTCCGACTAAACCTTTACAAAATTCAATGTATGTCAAAGGCCCTAAAATCTGGAATACCCTACCTGAGAACTCTAGAACTGCAGACACATTCATCACCTTCAAAACTACCATTAGAAAACATCTTATCTCCCTGATACACCCCGTCAACTAACTTCACGAATACCACCTGGTGGTTCACACTTACAATCGCTCACTCATTTGACCATAAACAGAAATATTAATCTCAGTCTTAAAATAATGAATCCTGTGATACTCCAATACTGAAACTATATACTGTGCCAAAACAAAAGCATTCACATTGCTAAACTCACAAAATAGTATTTAGTCACTTAGCCATAATACCAACTTACCTCATAATTTGTAATATTTTACATTTAAGAATAAAACTAAGTATGCCCGAAATGCCTAGCCATGCTAAGCGTTCTAGTGGTACACTCTGTAATCTCAATTTTACTACATGTAAACCAAACAATAACCAAATTTCTGTAAACTCAGCATTGTAATCCTTATAGAGAATAAACTTTGAATTTTGAATTTTGAATTTTGAAAATGTGAGTCAAAGTCAGCAAAATCGCCAATTCGTAAATATCGCTGACACATCAAAATTCGTGAGAGCATAATTTTGTCAATTTTCCATCAAATTTCGTACTTTTTGTTTTATTACCTTCACAAAAAGAATCTCTACCATTTCATAAGAAAAAATAACAAATTTTTTTTTTTTAAATTCTTGGACACTGGGGCACCACATCAGATTTGGGCCTTGGACCCTGAAGGGGTTAAACCAGTTCTATTCACAGATGACACCACTTACATCTTCTCCCACCCAAACCTGCCTATACTTAGTGACACTGCAAAAAGCGAGCTACATAAAATATCAAACTGGACGACGACCAACAAACTCACTCGCAATATAGACAAAACCTACTTCATCCTTTTTGGAAACAGAGCATTATATATCCAGCTAAACATATCGATAAATGGTTCACCTATTACAAGACACACTGAGGGCAAATTTCTAGGTCTCCGCCTTGACTGTAGTCTTATATTTCAGACCCACATCCAGCATATAACTAAGAAAAATTTCCAAAACAGTAGGCATCCTTCCAAGATACAATACTATGTACCCCAAATGGCGCTCCTTACTTAAATCGCTCATCTATGGTATTTGTGCTTGGGGATCTACCATGGCCATTCACCTTAAACCTTTAATAACCCAACAAAAAGCTGCTGTGCAGATGATCACAAACTCCTGCATCAGACAACACACTCCACCACTCTTCAAGAGCTTTAACTTACTTAATATTTAAAATATGCACACTTATTACTGTGCCTACTATATATACAGAACATTAAGCTCCAATATCAACCCTCCACTCAAACTTCTAGACAGCTTCAACAGAGCACACAGGCATAACACGAGGCACAAAACACTTTTTGACATCCCTCGTGTCTGTGTCACACTATGGAAAAATGCAATGCACATAACAGGCCTGAAGATCTGGAACATTTTGCCCAAAACAGCAAGAGGTCCCCTGCCCATAAATCAATTTAGTGCTATACTTAAAAATCATCTCATCTCTCAATAATAACCATACCCACACTATGCTAATCTCTAACCAAAATTGAAGCAACTCTCTCAAATATTTTATTATCCCTTAACTATTAAGCCATTATTACAAAGTTAAAAATGTATGTCTGTATCATAAATTGTACTACCTCATATTAATATTAGAGTAAAATATTGAATATTTATAATCTACCACTACTCACCCGTCTAGTTAAGTAGTTTTTAGGTATTAGGTTAAGTTTGCCTGAAATGCCTTGGCATGATAGTGGCTTCTTTTGTACCACTCAAATTATGAAATGTAAACACACATTGTAATCTTTGCAAAGAAATAAACTTTTTATTTTTTATTTTTTGAACCTGGGCCATTGATAAATCACAATGTCAGTGATCTAATTTGTCAATGATCCTAGTTAAACTAAAATGCTGTCATAAGTTTCCCCTCTCCTAAGTGTGGGTTATTTGTGTATTATTATTATTATTATTATTATTATTATTATTATTATTATTATTATTATTATTATTATTATTATTACTGAACAGCAATAAATGATGATGTGAACTGAAAACCAGATATGACAAAAAGCGGAGTGCTAAAAAAATTAATATAGAAAATATTGTACTGATTTAAACATATGACTGTACAATTATTAGTAATGGCTACAGCAAAAAAAAAAAAGAAAAAAAAAAAAGTGGCAAATTAAAAGACAAGTGATCAAAAAACAAGAATGATCAGAGAAGTAACAACAAACCATTAAAAATTAAGATATAGATATGTGAGACTGCAGTGTAACAAGAGATGTGCATACACCATACCTGGAAAGCTTCAGTGATATTCAGTTCTCTACACTTAATGAGAGTCTGGAAAAAGATGGTGATATTCTCTCCATCTTCACTTTGAGGACGCCGGAGAAGGAATTTTCTGGCACTAACTCGAAGAGCTTTCACTTTTTCCCCAAACCCTTGAAACTTGAAAGTATTGGTGGCTTTGTGGGCCTGACGCTGTGACGTCTCCTTCATTTTAGTTCTGATAAAAAAAAATATTTTATATAGACTTAAAAGTATAAGTTAAGTTAAACCACAACATACTTATTCCTAATAGAAATAATATTATAATAATAATAATAATAATCATAGTAATAATAATAATAATAATAATAATAATAATATAAAATAATAACAATAATAATAATCTTTATTTCTACAAGTACATGATACAACTTATACAGACCAAGCTGACAACAATGACATACTCTGCATAACAAAGGTTATGCAGAGTATTTTTGGTAAATTAGGTTAATTTTGTCTCCAGGATACAACCCACACCAGGTGGCTAACATCCAGGTACCTATTTATTGCTAGGTGAACAGCAACAGCAGGTGTCTTAAGGAAACACCCCCAAGGTTCCCGCCCAAAACAACAGATATTAGTGCCAGCAAGTAATGCCCCCTACATACCATCACTACATTTGTATTTGCAAATAAGTATACAGGGCTAAAGTCATCAACAAACAACAAAATACTTTTCATCAATGGACTGCTGACAGAATCAAATGCAATGTTTCTGGCTTTCACAGAGACCCACACAAAAGATAACTCTGACAATGAAATATGGATCACAGGGTATAACCTATTCAGATGCGACAGAAAAAACAGGCAACCTGGGGGATCTGGCCTGTATGTCAAATAGTTGCTCATTTGCTCGGAATTACTAAACACACCAAATGATGTAGTTGAAGTTTTGGCGGTAAAGACTGAAAACCAAAACCTTGTCATTGTGGTTGTATACAAGCCACCAGATACAACTTCCCAACAATTCAAGGAACAGCTTTTGAAAACTGTCTACTCCTTAGATAATCTCCCAACCCCACCCCCAAATATCTTGTTGCTGGGTGATTCAACTTAAAACACCTAAAATAGAGGAATGTGGCAAATGTTTAAGCAGAGATAACCCCAGGAGACAGCTCAGATAAAAATTCACATGCACACGAGCTATTGAATCTCTGCAACAAATCCACCTTAAGGCAGCAAATAGTGGAGCCAACAAAACTGGAAAATACACTTGACCTCATCTTCAATAATAATGATGATCTGATATGAAATATAACAGTAACTAAGACAATACACTCAGATCACAACATAACAGAAGTACTGACATATATGTGCAAGGCTCCTGACCAGCAAAATGAGATCAGTTATGAGGGTGCTTTCACCAAATTCAACTTCAATAACAGAAACATACAGTGGGATCAAATTAACCATGTCCTAAATGAAGCAATCTAGGAAGATATCCTCAACAATACAGATTTGAAGCTTTGCATAGAAAGAATTAACTCTGTGGCACTTGAGGTATGCACAAGGCACATTCCCTTAAAAAAAAAAAAAAGAGATGTAAATTAGAAAGAGATGCTCCCTCTACAGGCAAAGGCAAAGAATCAGAGCTGCAGAAAGGGGCCAGTATATCTGCAGTACGGAAGGAAGCACTGGCCAAAAATTGAAAGAAATAGAAAGTATTTCAGTTATCTAACACAGATTTACCTAACACGGCATTTTCTGGAACCTAACTACCGTGTAATGTAAGGGTCTACTTTACTGATTTTATAAGGGACTGGCCCCAAATGTACACACAGAAATTATTCCCTATGAAAGCAAGAGGCTTGGCAGACGGTGCACAATAACCCCCCGACCCCAATGAAAAGCAGGGCTGCAATGAGTACATAAAGGAATTAAGATTTTTCAACACCTTCCCACATATATAAGGGGAATTACCAACAGACCCCTGATTGCCTTCAACAGGAAATTTGTAAGTTTCTCAAGTGAGTTCCTGATCAGACAGGCTATGGTATATATGTACATTGAACTGCATGCAGCTAGCAGCAACAGCCTGGTCTGGGGCTAGGTCAAAGGGACATTTATCCTTAAAGCCATCTCCAGGAAAATAATCCATGCCCCTAATATGCCAATCTGGAGAGATTTAATTGCAAAATACAGTAATTACAGTCATGGGTAAAAGATAATATAGGTATTGGTCATGTGGTTACCAATTTCATCTGGCTACCTTATTTGATTTGGCACCTAAACAGATAAAGTTGATGAAGATGAAGAACCTGAGCCTGAAGTAGCGATGCTGACACTGCGCTAGCAATCGACTATTTCTATGGTTATAATCATGACTGATTTTTACTGAACCTAACAGCTAAGCTTTTAATAAGATATTATAAGGACTCCCCATGAAAATAAGTCACTTTGACTAACTCTTTGGTTTATAAGTGGGTAATTTAACTTAGCAATACTTAAGATGCATATACAGCTAAGTTACCCAATACATTTCACTTGTGTAATTGTACATAAATGAACTTCACTTACTTCTTAATAAGTCAAGTTTATTTAGATACAAGTACACAAGTCCAACTACACAAATTTATGTGACTATAATTATCACATATACTAGTAACGTGTAAATTACCGAGGATAACCCAAGAAGTCAAGAGATATTTATTTCCATTGGGGTTCTCTTAATATCTTATTATTTCAAGCCTTTCTGTATTATTATTATAATAAAAAAGAAGCGCTAAACCATAAGGGAAGCCTTTCTGTAAGACTAGTTCCTAGGCCTTTTGTGTATCCATATGCTCTCGCGCTACCGTCCACAGGATGGATATGGTGTGCACAATAAACTAGCCACTTCGGTGGCAAAATCTAAATCTGATAAGTGGCCGTAGTTGGGTATAAGTTAGACCTGCCTAGCATGGGTCAATAGGCCTACTGCAGTGTTCCTTCTCTCTTATATTAGACAATCACAAAAGTATGTTTAATTAATGAACCTGGACAAAAACTTAAAAAATAACCATTAAAGGAATACAAATTCAAATACAAAGGTGATAAGTAATGATTTAACTCAGCAATACGTACTATGTGGATACAACCAAGTCATCCGATACATTTCATATTCCAGTGTTCATATAATGCAGAGCAAACCTCGGAATATTAACTTATATCAGCCATGAACACGTGTTGACCGTCATGTTGTTGTTGGAGGTGTTACGGGACACGAAAACTTACGTCCTGTTCAGCAGATATATATTATAATTAAGGGGAGCGCTAAACCCGCAGGATTATGCAACGCGTGGGGGGAATGTGGAAGGTATTCAAAGACTTAATTCAGGGAACCGGAGGATAGATCCAATTCTCTAGATCAAGAGCCCCTCACCAACATCAAGGAACATTCCTTGAGGGGCCTGTTAAGCAATGTTTTCCAAAAGTCCGGTAAAAATCTATTACACAAATATGGGCTGAAATTATAAAGGAAACAAAGTTACAATCGGAAAGAGAAACTGAAACAATGAGTTCGCAATTAGGTTAGGTGAACCTCCTTGCCTAAACCACAACAGAGACAGACACTCACCCACAACTGGATCAACAACAACAGGCTTTCTCTTACAGATAATGATAAATAAGTTTAGGTATAAAAAAAAAAACCTAGTATGGGTGGGACTTGAACTCACGGCAGAGTCGTAAAACTCTTGCATTTGTGGTCACAGTGCGACCCATGCTAACATCCCTATGATATATAAATATACCTAGTCAGACTAATCTTATTGCAGCCAGCTGGCCCAGTGGCTTTCGCGTTGGTCTGGAGTTTTACGACTCACTTGCCTTGAGTTCAAGTTCCACCCGTACAGTGGCTTGTTTACAATCGTGTTATTAGGTACAATTAGGTTATTGGGTACAATTTACACAAGTACAACGTACAAGTTTTGCGTGGCTACAGGCAATGAATTCCAGATCGTAGGGTCCTTTATATGAATCGCATTTTTTGCGAAGGGTGAAACAGACACGAAGGATGTCAAAGAGAGTTTCGTACCTTTTGTTGAGCTTGTGTTTTCTGTTGTAACTATGAATGAAAAGTTTGAGAGGAGGGTTTATATTGGAGTTTAGTGTTCTATATATACAGAAGGCAAAATAACATGCATGTATATTTTGTACATTAAGTAAGTTCAAACTCTTGAAGAGCAGAGGGGTGTTGTGGGAAATTACCTGCAGGAGGTTTACAGGGTTTACCTGTATTATTTCCTGCAAGTAATTTGGGTACGCAGGATTTAGTCACAGTAGGTCACCGAACTGTCACTCCCTCGATGTCCACTCCCACAAAAAAAAACTAGACCTAACATTAAATTAATAATTACAATAATAATGGTAAATTATAAATTAATGTGGACTGTATATGATTTTAGGACCTGACTTAGAAATGGTTAATGGGAATATTTTTTACAAAGACTAGGGAAGGTTTTCTCCTTATCATTAGGACAATAAATTTTATACACATTAACTTACCATTTGTCACAGAAAGACAATGTTGATGGAACACACTCTATCGCTCCACTACAGCTAAAATTTATGATGGCCAATGCAAAAAGTATTGTACATTATGGGTAAGCATCACTTAGCTAAGGTGTGTTTCTGGGAAGGACTGGAGTCCTCTGTTTTTCTGTCCTTCTGGCCCAATTGTAAGGGTTTTCCCCACTATTTATCTGAGTTCTTCAGCAGGACCTCTTCAAGGGGGGCTCCTTGGCGTGGTGAAGAGGCTCTTGGTCTGAGGAATTAGCCCTGTCGGTCTTCTTCCTCAGACCGAACCTAATTACCCCCATTCTCCCCTCCCCTATCCCATCCTCCCCATCCTCCCCTTTTTCCATTCCCCCTTCCTCCTCCCCACCCCCTCCCTTTTGCCCTTCCTCTTTTTGGCCTTTGGGATTTCTCCCACAGGCACGCTAGTTCCTAGGTAGGGGAAAGGACACCGGGGTCCATCCCATTCCGTTGAGGTTCTTGGCGGTGGCGTAGTTTGCCATGGAATCTGGATTGCCTGGGGTGTCCCGATCCCTCTCGGTATCCCGGGAGTAGCTTTGGGTGTCTTTGGGGGGACGGGTGTATCTCTGGAAGCCACCTTTCGGATTCCGGGGGTGGTGGCCGAAGGAGGTATGCTTTGTGGGGGAAATATCCGGCCGTCCTCTCTTTTGTCCACCGAGGTGGCTCGGCAGATGTGAGGTTGCTATCCCGGATTGCTGGTTTACTGGCATGAAGGGAAAGGGTATGGCACGGGTTCCATGCTGCATCTGCGCTACTAGCGGTGTTGAGGTCCTCTGGGGCGCGGAGGGAGATTTCCGGCCCTTTCATTCCTCCTGGGAACTATTCCTCCCCGCTCCCCCCTTTTTTTATTCTTTTTTTATTTTTATTTTCTTTTCTTCTTTTTTTTTTTTTTTAAAAAACAAAAAGAAAAGGGGGAGTAACCTAACCATGGCACCCCTAGTCCATGAAACCCACTACCCCGGGGCCCCTTCTTGATACCGCACCCCATTCTGACCCTGCCTTGTTTTAGATCACTCTTCGACACTCTGATGCCCCTGTACCTCTTCCCGGGTGCTGTTTCCTCACCCGCTTCAGGTACCGGGGCTTCGACTGACTCCTTCGATTTGTCGGGAACTCCGCTCTCCTTTGACTATGTTTCCCGGCTTCTCCCTCTACGGTACGGCAATTTTTGAATCGCCTGCCCATTTCACCGCCGGACCAACTCTGGTCCTACTCCTAAACGCCAACGTCCAATCTCTGATGATGCTCCTTCGTTACCTTCCCATTTACTGGGAAAAAGACCGACACGTCAAGCACTCCCTCTCCACGCTCAGTTTCGGACCACACAATGGACTAAATTCTTTACTTTAAGACGACTTCTTCTGCCTACCTTTCTGACCAAAGTATTGGCAAAGCTCTCCTGCGTCTTGTTGGTAGAAGATATTTTCATTTCATGCTCTCAAGAGCTGTATGCACATCGTCACTGTCCAGAATGCTACCCAAGCTCATGATCTTTCTCTCCTTTCGAATATCGATACTACTCCTATCACTATTAAAAACATCTTTCTCTCAATTCTTGTGTGGTACTGTCATTCTGCCCCATACCATAGTCCAACAGAATTTCCAGTCATGTGGCAATGACATTTTTGAACAGCTGGAACTCCAGGATCTCCCAATCCTCAAAGTAGACATTTATGCCCTTTCCCTGCCGGGGGGCGGAGACGTTACCCTTGCAATGTGGCTCGTTTTAAACTTTTGACAGCTGAGAACTCCCGTCCTCTGTTTTATGTCGCGGGACATTGGTTAAAAAGTTCGAAAGGTAATACCTACACCGCAACAATGTAGAAATTGGCGGGCGTTTTGGTACCCAGCGAAATATTGCAGATTTATGGCCGAATGCCCAGTCTGTGGTGCCGACGACCATTCTAATACATCTTGCAGTCAACCTCCATCTTGCCTTAATTGTAATGAAGCTCACCCTTTGTACTCCCCGCCGTTGCCAGGTCTACTTAAATGAACGTGAAATCCGTTGCCTCAAAGGGGCAGAGGTCTCCCTTATGCTATGGCAGTTACTCATTCCCCTCCAAGGGAGACTACCCCATGTTTCTTATTCTCGTGTTTCCAAACATCCCCCCACTTCTGGGGTCCCATCTTCTGCAGCCTCCTCTGTTGTTACCCCTCCCATAGCCACTACGGCATCTAATCCTTTTGTTGTCCTTGGCTCTGACGTCCCGACTACAACCCCAGTCTGTTCTCACATCTTCGTGTCCTTCCTCACAAGCCCCAGTATCGACAAAGACCTCGTACGACACCTAATACAATCCGCCCCTCTACTTCTCAGAAGTCCAAAAAATCCACATTGCTCAAATCTTCTTTGCCCCTTCCTTCCCTTCTTCCACCTCCACACTTTACCTTTCCAGTCTCTGTACCTAGTTCTTCCCCTCTCTCTAGCTCTATTACAAGTGTGGAGATTCACCCTCCTCCCTCGTACTATGCCTTCCACCCCCGTCCCCTCCCAAGTTTCTCCCTCTTCGCCACCTCCCAGGTTTCTGCCTCTTCTGTCCCCCCCAACTTCATCTCCAGTTTCTTACACTCTTCCCTCCCCCTCTACTTTGGTACAGTCCATTACTGTCCCAATCTTTACTCACCCTCCTCCTTCTATCTCCAATATGGTCTCCCATACATCTTTGAATTCAGAAACACTTGAAGCCATTTCAGAAATATTGCAGAGATAAACCTTCAATGGACACTGATTCACTTCTGTTCCTTCTCTCCCCTCTCCTCCTCTTCAAAAACCCCAATCTTCACAACGCTCCGTTCCTTCGCTACTTGAACGTCTTCCAATGCCACCAATGTTGACTTTTCTAACCCCCTCTAGCCCGTAGGTGCCTTTACCTACAGTTCCTGGTATTTTCTTCATCGCCAATCATGGCCTATTTACAGTGGAATATCCGCGGCCTCAGGGGAAATTTCAGGGTGAGCTTCGATGTTGCTTTCCAGGTTTTCCCTGTTGGTGCTTGCTTACAAGAACCAAAATTGCACTCTGCTGTCTTCCAAACCCTTACCCAGGCTATAATTTATTGTATTCTTCGAATCCTTTCTCAGATGGGACCTTTAATGAAAGTCCCCTTCTTCTACGCAATGATATTCCGTTCTGTCAACTATTTGGTCCATACCTCGCTGCATTACACTGCACCCCAAAATCCACTTGAATAAGTGGTTTACAATATGTTCTTTTATATCTTCTCCTTCTCGAGCATTTTCTATCCCAGACTTTGCCTTTCTTGTTTCATCCTTACCACCCCCACTTCTGTTACTTGGTAAATTTAATGCCCCCATTTCCTCTGGGGGGGGGTCTCATTGTGACTCACGTGGAAATCCCAGTTGGAGGCTTTTTCGCCTCTCACCCCCTCCATGTTTTAAATACGGGTACTCCCACCCATTTTGTTTCCTCGTACTCATATCTCTCTTGCACCGATCTATCAGTCTGCTCTTCCTCCACTGCACTAGACTTCACCTGGTCTGTTTTACCGGACTTACATGCCCAGCGTTTCATTTTCCGATCATTCTTACTTCTCCTTCCTATTCACCACCTTTCCGTAGCCCTCGCTGGCAATTGATGGGGCAAATTGGGATCTTTACTCACACCTCACTGCTTTTAGTGGGGTTTCCCCTTCTTCATCCCCCATTGATGAGCTCCTACACATTTCTCGACGTCAGT